CAACTTGCATGCTGCTAACTTTGTTTGGGCACCGGGCTCTGACGAGGCGTTTAAATTCTGTCTAAAACAATTAGACTCGGTAAAACGCTCAAACACTTTTCTCCTCTCAAACTTCGACAGCTCATTAAACGGGATAAATAATGCTACGGAAATGTTTAGTGATATCCTTATAAGTGCAGCCAAGACCAGTCTTAAACTGATAAAACATAAAAAGAAAAGAAATCAAAAGAAGAACGAATGGTTTGATAAGGATTGTAAACGCCATCAGACCGATATGATTAAAGCCAAATGGCAACTTCAAAAATATCCAAATGATAAAAGTTTATTGAAAATATATTCGGACAGACGTAGGGCCTATAAAAAGATAACCAAATTTAAATCTCGAGAAGTAAAAAATAAAATTTTAGATAAAATTAATGCATTAGAAACCAACAACCCAAGGGAATATTGGAAGCTTGTGAATAAAATACTTGAAAATAAAAAGTCTAATGAAGATCCAAATATTTCCTGCAGTGAATGGGAACAGCATTTTTCTCAAATATTAGCGACGGATGAAGACCATAGTTTACCACTCCACAGGGAGATCAGAATAAGAACTGAAACTCTTTTAGAAACTAAAAATATAAACCATGACATAAATAAGCCCATCTATAAATAAATAATTTATTTATATTAAAGACTATTATTAACCGAAAATTATACGAAAAGAAAAATTTGTATCTATGTTTTGTCGATTTCAGTATGGCGAGTCGGACTTCTCTACAAATTAGTTAAACATAATATAAACGGTAATGTATATAATATTATACAATCGATGTATCATAAAACAACTTATAAGATAAAATCTAATGATAAATTATCCGAGGTAATTTCTTCGACGGTTGGTGTCAAGCAGGGTTGTAACATGAGTCCAACCCTGTTTAATATATATGTTAACGATCTACAAAACTACCTTCAAAAATCAGCTAGCACCCCGCTGCTTAATGGTCAACCGTTATCCCATCTTATGTTTGCGGATGATTTAGTTTTATTGTCCTCTAATGAGGCTGATCTACAGAATCAATTAAATAATTTATCCGAGTTCTGTTCCGATTGGCAACTGAAACTTAATCCAAATAAAACAAAAATAATGACGTTTCTTAATTCTAAAATAAGTACAAAGCAAAATTATATATATAAATTTTATTTTGAAGAATTTGAACTCCAAAATACCGAAACGTACAATTATCTTGGATTAACGATTACTAATAATTCTAGCTTTAAAACCTCATTTTGTGACCAAATGAAAAAAGCCCGACGAGCGTGGTATGCGATAAGACAGAAACTATGCTGTACTGAATCCCTGCCCTCTACAGTAATGATAAAACTTTATCATTCTATTGTTAAGCAGATAGCCCTTTATGGGGCAGAGATTTGGGGTTCATACGTTATCAAAAACATAATTAAGATTGACAGATGGGATAAATTTGAAGAAAACAGAAGTACGATCAACATTTGTAAATCCATTCTCAATATGCCTAAGCGTGCTAGTAACATGGGATGTCTAGATGAATGTGGTATCCATCCACTATCTCTGGACATATATCAGCGTATGCTTCTTTACTTCAAAAGATTCTTATCGGATAATAAAAACAAACTCCTAGACACGTCATTTGTAGCGGATTATGAACTTTCTTGTAAAACTGCTGGTTCAAGAAAATCATTTTGTCATAGCATAGGGATTTTAACCAGATATTTTGAACTTGAACAAAATGACCTAAAAAAATAGTGACATAAAATCTGCCACCGAAAAGAAATTTGTCGATCTTTTCCTAATAGTTACTGATCAACAAGAAAATTCGCAATCGATCCATAAACTTCGGACGTATGGAAAAATTAAGCCAGATTTTTATGCGATTAGGCTTAGCACACACCATCTCGAGATAGAGCGTGGTCGGTATAAAAATATTCCGCCACATGCACGTTTATGTAATCAATGTAATAATAATGAAATAGAAGACGAATATCATTTCATATTTTACTGTAATAAATATAACAATCTTAGAAATTCAAAATTTACGCCAATTTTCAAAAGCAATCCGCACATCTCGTGCAATATGATTAATGTTTTAAATCCCCCAAACGAAATTGCCAGTCAGGTTGCTTCATATATATATAAGTGTCTCCAAGAAAGAGCATCAGAGTTACCTGTTAACCAACACCCCAGTTCAATATAATATGTTTATTATACTAATACTTACGGTAGAAATAGTTTGTTTATTTTTCAGGCTAGTTTAGATAATTTTCGTTTTAGCTCTATACTGATTCTCATTATACCGACCATCTTTTAATGCTTATAGACTTGTTATATCACATTGTACATCCATAAAGGATCACCCCAGATGTTATGTTACAATTGTATGATCAACTTTTGTTTAAACTGTGTATGCTGTCCTTGGTGGATGCAAGGATACAATAAAATCTTATCTTATCTTATCAGCAAACGAAGCCCCAGGCGCGTAGTTAGCGAGGGGGGGGGGGCCCAACCAATCTCAATCGGCTTTATGGGGCGCACATACCGATATGGGCACGTTAGTCGTTGGCTTCGTACTGCGTCCATTGGAAATGGCGCTGGCTACAGGCCTTGGCCCGTGACCTTTTTCCCGGAAGACCTTCGACTTTTGAACCGTTTGGGGGTTGGTGAAGTCATGCGTTTGCACTGTATACTTTGATGTCTCTGGGTCAATGTAATGAATCTAGATTTCCATCCTGAGTAACAATTTGACCCAACCAAGAAAGCACGTGGATCTGCGACCCACCTCCATTCGCGCATGATTTTTTCTAACTATTCGCCTTTGTCGTATTGTAGTGTTACGGTATTGGACGATTATCTTTATATATTGATCTGTACAGAACAGAAGCACGTCATTCTCTAAGCAGATCGTCTTAATGTGTGAAAGAAATATTAGAGACGACAATGATGATAAAATGGTTCATAGTAACTGTTATAAGTACAAGTCTCTGTGGTAAGTTTTTAGATTATATCTCACTACATTGACAGTTGGTGGAGGGGGGGGGGGCTTATCAGTACCACAAGTATGTGTGGTAAGTTTCTAGAATATATCACACTACATTGAAAGTTGGTGGAGAGAACGGAGGGGGGGGGGGCGTTATCAGTACCACAAGTATGCGTGGTAAGTTTCTAGATTATATCACACTACATTGACAGGAGGTGGAGAGTACGTGGAAGGGGGGGGGGGGGGCGTTATCTGAACAACAAGCCTGTGTGGTAAGTTTCTAGATTTAAGTATTTCAACCATAGCACCATGCAATTCCCTTTCATTTCAATCGTGACACCATACAATTCCCTTTCAGTCCAATCGTACGTAGTACCATGCAATTCCCTTTCATTTCAATCCTCGCGCCATGCAATTTCTTTTCATTTCAATCATATCACCTCACCATGCCATTCCCTTTCATTCCAATCCTTGCGCCACGCAATTCCCTTTCATTTCAATTATTGCGCCATACAATTCACTTCTGTTGCTATTTTGAAATTGATATTTATTCCAGCTCCCATGTGATTGTGTGGGGTGTGTGTGTGTGTGGGGGGTGTGTGTGTGGGGGGGGGCACGGTGGCTAGTGGGTAGGACGCTAGCCTAGAGGTCGCGTGTTCGATCCCTGCATTGGCCGATAAACAGCTGGTCGTTCTTGCTGTAATAGTTCCAAAATAAATAATTTAAAATTAATTTCACGACGTTATCACTATCGCTTGGGACGGACGAAAGATGTTATCCAAAAAAGCGTGGCATCCACGTAATAGTAATATTTTCCAATTCTAATAGCTCGCCAATAAAATGTACCCATAATTTGAACGTTTCATGCGATTTTGCGGAATGTTCTGTATGACTGGTGTTGATTGGTAGGTTGATCTTGAGTCGACCAACCACAATCTGTGTATTACAGAATGCGTTCTATGAGAATCGTCGCAACAACAAGATAGAGCGGGGTAAATGAACGAAAATTCAAACAGAAGAAAATGTATCTGTAATTTAATTAGTTTGTCATCAGTGTTTGGATATAACTGATTTTAGGTTAAAAACGAAAGTAAAATTGGTAAACAACCCGGCTTATGTTGGATATTTGAATCCAAAACTCTAATCTCATAGAAATAACATGTCTGATTACCCCAGTTTAATATTTTATTTTAACTTATAAATCAAAGAGGTTTGGTACCTTGGAACTAATTTACCTCAAGCTAATACAACACTTTATTTGACCTAAAGAGATTTAGCTCATTCAAGTAGAATTACACATTACTTAATTCAACACTTTATTTGACTGAAAGAGGTTTATCCCCCTTACACGCCATACAGAGTTAATTTAACTCTTTATTTGACTTCAAGAGGTTTAGCCTCCTTAATTATAATTACACACCATACCAAGTAAATTCAACACTTTAATTAAAGAGGTTTAGCCCCCTTAAGTTTATTACACGCCAGGCCAAGTAAACTCAACACTTTAGTTTAGTTACAAGGGTTTAGCCTCCTCTAGTATGATTACACGCCAGACCAAGTAAATTCAACACTTTAGCTTAATTAAAGAGGTTTAGCCTCCTCATGTATTATTATTTAAAATAACATCTACGTTCTTGAACGTTATGATATATACTGATGTCCAAAAGAAAGTATACACACTAAAAGTATGACTAAGTTTTGTTTAGATTAAAAACATTTGATAAAGCATTATTGAGTTTGTCTCTTGCGTCCAAACTCAACATTTCTAAGCAAAATAAAAATGTGAAACAAATTGACATTCTACCCAAATACCGAATACCATGAAAAAACGACTCTGGTTGATGCAGCACAAAATGCACAGTGTACACTTTCTTTTGGACATTAGTATATTTAGGTAATTTAGTAACTACAAATAAACCATATCACATCTGATATATTTTCCAGTTGGTACGTATGTTTATTTTGATGAAAAAGTCAGTTTTAACGCTGCTGTGGTGAAGTGTAAAGATTTTGGAATGGAATTAGCCATGGTACCGACTAAACAGGCCTACCAGGCGTTGTTACAGTTCATCGAACAACTGTCAATGTAAGTAAATTCTAACCCCTACTACATGTATATATCAGTTTTAACTAATGTCGTGCTTCAAGCAGGGTATGACATACTGTATCCAGAATACTACAGTCCTCCATGAGAATGATGCAGATATTTGGCAAGGTCACGTAAATGTCACCTTAGACCTGCCTTATTTTACTATCATTAAAGCAACACTAGGGATCAGATATATGCCTGTTAGAATATTGAACTGAGAGCGAATAGAGTCTATATTGTATAGTATAGGTCTAATATTTAATATAGAACTAATATTGTATATTGAACGAATATTGTATAAAGTGGGAATATAGAAATATATACAACTATGGAGCAAATATAGAATATAGAGCCAATATTGAATATATACTAATGTATGTAGAAAGTATACACACTAAAAATATGACTAAGTTTTATTTTGATTAAAAACATTTGGGTTTGTCTCTTGCGTCCAAACTCTATATTTCTGAGCAAAATAAAAAAAGCGAAACAGATTGACATTGTACCCACGTGCCGCATACGATGGAAAACGACTTTGGTTGATGCAGCACGAAATGCACAGTGCATTGAATATAGAACAAATATAGAAAAGATCTATACTAATATTTGTGACTGTCGTTTGTTTGTTTGTCTGTTTGTTCATGGTAAGCCACTACACTAGGGTTGTCCCAAAAGTTTGGTGTATAGGCGTAGCTCGAACCGGGGAGTAACATGGCTTGGTCCAGGGTTAGATTTAAGAATTTGGGGGAGTGGTTCTAGTATTGAATATAGAGAAGATATTGCACCGGAGAAAAAGTAATTGTATATATGGCCTATAAATTAAAGTGATTTAGTACCTGTTATTGACTGTCCTGTTTGCATATGTATCCATTCATTCTAGAAAGAGAGAGAGAGAGAGAGAAATGGGGTTTAACGTCCACTCGACACAAAGTAGGTCATTTCGGGACTAGCATATGGCTTAATTTTATTTCAATAATTCGCTTGCGCGTAGGGGTCTTTAGCAGTGGGGGGAAACCGGAGCACCCGGAGAAAACCCACGAGGTTGGACAGGCAACCCTACTCCTTGTCACGCACAACCGGGGATTCGAAACCACGTACTTTATGGTACAGCGCGCACGTGCTAACCATACAGCCATCCACCCCCCCCCCATTCATTTTAGAACATTTGATACCACTTGTATTGTGTATTCTATAATTAAAGTGACGAGGAAGGATTGTGGTTTGGACTGGAATATATTTATACCATGAAAAGATATAGGTGGTTAAATGGCGATTTATTGGTGAGGGGAGACTGGTTTAAACTTCAAGCTGAGGATAAAGAGTGTGTTACTATGAAACATGACAACTACAAATGGGCTACACATCAAGCGGATAGAGAACGTCCTGTTATTTGTGAAGATCCTGGCAAAGGTAGATAAATAATAATAATAATAATAATAATGTGGAATTCCTACCAAAAGGCTGCGATAGAGGGGGGGGGGGGATGGTGTGTAACGTCCACTTGACACAAACTAGGTTATTTCGGGACTAACATATGGTTCAATTTTATTTCAATAATTTGTTTGCGCGTAGGGGTCTTTAGCGGTGGGAGGAAACCGGAGGACCCGTAGAAACCCACGAGGTTGGACAGGCGACCCTACTCCTTGTCACGTGCAACCGGGGACTCGAAACCACGCCAGTTGACTCAATGACAGACCTTATGATAGAGCGCGCACGTGTTAACCATTCGCCCCCCCCCCCCCAAAAAAAAAGAAAGGCTGCTCCTTTTGATTACATCCAAAAATGGATAATCGAGACTATATCTTACCGACTTTAGTAATGATGATCGAGGCTAGACCTAAAATGCAATCGTTAATATCTCAGTTTAGAATGGGTCAATTTTCAGCAAATTTCCTTTACACTATTTAGTTTTTAACTATTGCAATGAGAACTGCCAGCTCTTTATCTAATCTCCCTTAACCACAGAATTTAAATTACTATATATTTGTATATTCATATTACATTAATGGGAGCTTTTAGACCCATTTTCGTCTATTTTAAAAGACGCTGGCTCGCTAGCCTGGAGGTCGGATGTTCGATCCTTACATCGGTCGAGAAAGTTCCTCCCGATTTTTTGGCGCGGTCCCCCTTTGTCAGTGATGCAGGACGGAGGGCCTGATAAGGACAGCTGTCTAGTCGTCGTTCGGATGGGACGAAAAACCGAGGTCCCGTTGTACACATTGGCGTGCACTTAAAAATCCCTTGACAGTTGGAATTCGATATAAGAGTAGACCGCAGTGCCGCTGTCCGGGCACAATTTCCCTCATAGCACAATATATGGTGTATTATCCCAGATCGAAGCAGAACAGTAGAACGTTAAACCCCATTTCATTATCGTCCATTTTAAGAGTCATAAGCCCATTAAGCTTAGTTGCCTTTTAACGTTAAGCTTCTTATTAATCTTATATTAAAGAAACCAATATGCTATAGATTGTTTTAAAGTCTATAAGTCATTTCACAATATACCGGAATGAAACAGTAAATAAGTATTTTAATATTTAGAAATTAAGCTAAGTGTAAAAGTTGAATTCCTACAAAAGTAGCATTAATATATAATAGCACCCATTATGCTTACTTAGGTTGATATTTATTCCCTTGAAACTAATAACGATGCGTGGAAGAAAGCTTTTTGACATTAAAGTAGCTAAGTCTCTAACTCAATAACATCCAAAATATTCGACATTGAAAACACGATTTATTTGTCGGTTTAAATCAACATTGATGTTGTGATCTTAACGGGAAAAGATGGCCTTCTGATATCCAATATTTATAGACAAAATAAACATTTTACAATTGGTACACGAAATGTGTACCATAATGCGTTTCAGCGCTATTTGTAATAAGGGACTAGAAAAACGGGGCTAGGCATATTCCACAAGTTATGTCAAACGGTGACGCTATATTCTTATCTGGAGAGCATGCCCAATAAATACTATCGGCGTAGACTGGAATAACCAGACGCTAGAGATTGAAATTCGATTGAGAATACTGGCGTATTTCGCCGAACCTAACTGATTAGAAATTACAGTAAAAACAGAAACGATTGAATGTAAATCAATTTATATACATTCATATTACATTATTATATACGTTGCTACTCATTTGTGTCAATTTCTAGGTCCCAAATATTAGCGACTTAGCTCCTTTAAATTCTAACGCTGTGTTATTTTAGAAATGAACTGAACTATAAAGAAATCATATAATATTAATTCACGAAACATTTTAACTAATTACTTTTCAATGCATTTCTATCCAATTAACCACCAAGCATTCGCGTGAACCTAATTAAAACTTGAAAAGGAATATTTTTAGCCATCCACTGGGATTAATGTTACGGTTGATGGGGGTGGGATACAGGAAGGTGGGGAAGATATCAAATGGATTAGTGGTAAACAAAAACATATAATTTATTAATTGTACATATTAGATCATAACGTATACCCAAGTTAAGTATATTAGACAATAATTTATTAATATTTTCTTTAGTAAATGAACATATTAACACAGGCTACAATTTTATGGTTAGACAATTACTGAGTTTAATACTATGCGACGTCTCGACGAGGATATTCCCGTCTTTATCCAGCAAATGATATACATGTAAATATGTGAATGGTAGTCACATATTAGGGTGTTTCACTTTTCACCTTTTTTTCGCAATTTCTAAGGTTTCTACACGTCTTGAGCTTGACAGATCATTTAGAAAGGTCAGATATGGCTTGCAATATATCTATTTTTTTCCCACCATCTTAAATGAGGTTGTCAGAATCCAAGGTGGCGAAAATCCATCATGGCGCCCAAAATCGGCTATTTTCGTGAGATGGAAAAGCATTTTGTAAAGACTATACAATTTTGCACTCAAAATGTTGTTCAGAATGAGATCTACCTTTGGTTGAAAATGGCGGAAGGTAATGTCTGAAGGTGAAGCTCCGATGGAGTATATTCACTACACTATTTGTCTGGTAGAACTATAACTGAACCGGGAATTGTATACAAAGTTGTTTATGTTTGATTTTAGTAGCCTAGGGTGTCCTCTTTCAGAATCTTTCATCCACATCTGATGAGCCACATGACAGACTCCGGAGCAATTACGTTGACCGATTGTAATGTTCTCAATTTAGTGCCCTTAACCCAGCAATATACTTCCGGATCAAGTTCCGGCCGATTACGATCGTTCAGTCAACCCAACACAATAGCTTGGTGATGGTGGGAATGGACTCTACATCCTTTCTAAGTGATCTGTCGATCTTAAAACCTCCGAAAATCTCGAATATGGTCGCAATTTTCGAAAAGATGGCTTGTGGCAGGCATTTTTGGCAAGAATATTCTGAAAATATTACGGTTTAAGTTTGATCCCGAGTGGACTTCCGTGACGGGTAGAAACCTTAGAAATTACGAAAAAAGTTAAGCACCCTTGTTATTATGTTATAGGGTGTTTCACTTTTCACTTTTTTCGTAATTTCTAAGGTTTCTACCCGTCACGGAAGTCCACTCGGGATCAAACTTACACCGTAATAACATGATAACAAGTTGAGGAGCGCTTGAGTATGGAAGACCAAACAGCTCTTTATTCAAGGTTTTAATTCTTATTAATTTCTTCATTTGTTGTCATATTTCGACATTTGTATACTAAAATTAACATTTGGATACTAAAATAAAATTAATATTTGTATACTAAAATAAAATTAACATTTGTTTACTAAAATTAACATTTGTTGCTTAAAATCAATATTCGTTTTACAAAGCAGACATTTGTCATATCAGATTTGTAAATTGTATACAAATGAAGAAATAAGAATTAAGGACTATGGATTAAGAACTAAGAATTAGGAACACTGAATAAAGAGCTGTTTGTTCTTCCATACTTGACACTCGGTTCCTGGCCCAAAACTTTATTCGGCTTTTTCTATTATCTTTACACACAAATTATACGTTTTCATGTCGGTTATCTTTCTAATCAATGATATTTACCTTTAAATATTTCAGAACCACAATTTATACGTTTTAGTGCCAATGTAAACTACACTGTAGCACAGCAACTTTGTTCAAATCACAGCTACCGGTTCCCAGTAATTCGAGCTGAATCAGATAGACTGGCTCTGATAGATTTGATGACAAATGAGTCCATGTAAGTTATTTTAGTAGTGAGAATCGGACTCGGTTTCAGTTTATTTTATGCATGGGTGTTAGGTGAATAGGCATATTGGCGTGGCACCGATCGGAGCAAGGAGCAAATACACTGTATATTTGGACTATGACCCATACACCGTCATTTGCCTTACCCATGACATTGTTTTATTGTAAAACTTATTTGACAACATTGTTTTTATTACCCCTGTCGATATATAAATATCTAACACATCTTGTATCATTTACATTCATGTTTGCATTATTAATCTATTATAGATCTATTATTAATCTATAATCAATCTATTATCAATCTATTATTGATCAATTATCAATCTATTATCAATCTATTATTGATCTATTATTGATATATTATCAATCCATTATCTATCTATTATCAATCTATTGATCTATTATTGATATATTATCAATATATTATTGATCTATTATCAAACTATTATCAATATATTTTTAATCTAGTATCAATCTATCAATCTAATAATCTATTGATCTATTGTTGATCTATTATCAATCTATTATTGGCATATTGTTGATCTATTATTGATCTATTATCAATATATTATGGATCTATTATCAATATATTATAGATCTATTATCAATCTATTATCAATTTATATATTACTACTTTATTATTAATATAGTATTGATCAATACTTTATCAATGTAGTATTACTGTATTTCTCTAGTATTACTCTATTAATACAACTTTATTACTACTTTTATTTGTTGCCCTTTATACTCTTTATTTTTACTTTATTATTACTTTATTACCACTTTATTATTGCCTGATTACCTCTTTGTTACTATTATTATTATTATTATTATTATTATTATTTTACTATTATTTTACTATTATTTTATCATTATTATTACTTTATTACTTTACTATTACTTTATTATTATTATTATTATTATTATTATTATTATTATTATTATTTTACTATTACTTTACTATTACTTTACTATTACTTTACTATTACTTAATTTTTATTTTAGTATTACTTTATTATTATTATTATTATTATTATTATTATATTATTATCACTTTATTAATTTACGAGTATTTTATTAGTATTTTATTATTACTTTACTATTACTTTACTATTACTTTACTATTACTTTACTATTACTTTACTATTACTTTACTATTACTTTACTATAACTTAATTTTTTATTTTATTATTACTTTATTATTATTATTATTATTATTACTTTATTATTATTATCACTTTATTAATTTACTAGTATTTTATTATTATTTTATTATTACTTTACTATTACTTTACTATTACTTAATTTTTATTTTATTATTACTTTATTATTACTTTATTATTATTATTATTATTATTATTATTATTATTACTTTATTATTATTATCACTTTATTAATTTACTAGTATTTTATTAGTATTTTATTATTACTTTACTGTTACTTTACTATTACTTTATTATTGTATTTTTTTTTTATAAATATGGTAAAATATCAATTTATATTATGAGATCTTGGAGTAAATTGTTTCTGGATACAACGGGTATTATTAGTATTAATCTATAATTAATCTAGTGTTATTCTATTATTAATCTATTTAGTATCAAATTAAAACATCACCAGTTCATGTGACATCACCAATGAAAATGCTCTGTTTCGGGTCCAATATATATTCTATCGGTGTGCAGAATACGTCACAGTGTTTTTAGGATTCGTATCAGAATTTAAAAAAAATAATTCGCTTCTGTTCAGATCTGATTCCGATTTGAGCATGTATGTCACTCCGATCAGAACACTGCAATTTTAGTATAACGACTGATATAGTGAAAATGACTTCCAGGGCGAAATTGATAAATTATTATGTTTCAGAACCAGGGATATATTTTTGGGTATAGAGAAAACGGCAGCTGGTAACTATCAGTGGTTGGATGGCGTAGATGTGGAATACTATGCCTGGCAAAATATAACCAATTGTCCTCTAAACATCAACATTCAACATGATGGTTTCTATTGTGGAGAGGACGTTACTAGGCCATATATCTGTGAAACCAATGTATCAAGTATGTTTCTTCTCAATTAATAACAGTCATTTTATACTCTTCGATATTAGTTATATCTACCCCTTCTTTCTCTTCTTCCCAAACAGGGCCGCCCGTAAACAATAGGGAGGTAAAAATAAATGACAATAAATATGGTTTCTTGTCTTAATTTTCTGTAATAACCGCGTTCAGGAATACTTACAAACGCCCGTCTTCATTAGCTTAGTTTAGGAGCAGAACAGCGGGACGCTAAATCTCATTTCATTTCATTTCACTTACAAACGCCATAGAATATCCTTCGAGGAAAATGTTGCTCAGACAACTGCGCTAGGACTACTCTTATTCGATTTCTAATACCCGGTGAGCTTTAATGTGCTACCAATAGTATAAACGTGGCCTCGGTTTTGCGCCCCGCCCGAAAGACGATTTTCCGTGGTAGACCGTCCGTCCTGCAACCTCTGATCATGGAAATTCCGACAAACTATACCGACCAACACGGTGATCAAACCAGGTCAGTGAGCATGCTCTACATTCACCGATCCGTTTTTTGTTAACATACAAGTCATTTCATGGCCCCATATAGGCCCGTCACTGTACACATGCTTACACTCCCATCTGTGGCTGAACGGATGGTACGTTGGCTCGCTAACCTGGAGGTTGCGTGGCTGAGCGGATGAGACGTTGGCTGGCTAACCTGGATGTTGCGTGTTCGATCCCAGTATTTGCCGAGAAAGTTCATCGAGATTTTCCGGCGTGCCCCCCCCCCCCCACCGTCAGCGGTGCAGTACAGAGGGTCTGGCTGGCAAGGGACAATGTATAGTCGTTCGGATGATACGAGGACCTAAGGTTCCGTGTACACATTTTAGCGTGCACGTAAAAGATCCCTTGACAATTGAAATTCGATATAAAAGTAGATAAAATTTCACTCATAGCACACTATATGGCGTATGCCCATCTCCATTAGCCCAGTTGGAGCAGAACAGTGGGCGTTAACCCACATCTCGTTTCATTCATTTCCACCTGACACTATTGGAAATAAAATGAAGTGGGGTTTAACGTCCTACTGTTCTGCTCCAAACTGGGCTAATGGAGACGGGCATACGCCATACAGTGTGCTATGAGGGAAACTTTTCCCAGACAGCGGCACTACGACCTGTGTTGAAGCCACGGTTAAAAGCTCTTTCAACTTGGCTACTGGTTACTGTGGGTGACCTACGTTCTTATTACCCTTTTTAATGTCTAAAAATTGATTTTGTTTCAGCAAGCTTTCAGATGACGTTGTTCACCCAGATGTCACCAGCTATCGACATTTCCGCTCCACCGATAACAGAAAAGTCTGTATTAATAAAAACACAATGTGCCATGTTGTGTAATCTTAACACACAATGTTATTATTTTACATTTAACTTACAACATTGTAAACTTTATGGTAATATTACATATACTGCTGTACCCACTGGTATTAATATATGGTCAAAGCCAACACTGTAAACTGTCACATACAATGTTATTATTTTACATTTAACTTACATTGTAAACATTATGGTAATATTACATATAATGCTATATCCACTGATATTAATCTGTTATTACTTTAAATTTAACTTACATTGTAAACATTATGGTAATATTACATATAATGCTGTATCCACTGATATTAATCTGTTATTATTTTAAATTTAACTTACATTGTAAACTTTATGGTAATATTACATATACTACTGTATCCACTGGTATTAGTCTACAAAACTTACACCATTAATTTAATATACATTGTTAGTATTATTATAAAAGCTACACAATTATATTACTATCATAAAAAATAAAAAAATACATCATTGTATACATTATGGGAATATAACTTTAATACCCCTTTATGAAATATTGATATCTTGTTTCACTAATACGAGAAAATTGTGTTATAATAAACACAATGTGTTATGTTATGTTATAATAACCACACAGTATAAGGTTATGTTATAATAAACACACAATGTGTTATGTTATGTTATAATAACAACTCAATGTGTTATGTTGTTATAATAACCACACAGTTTGTTATGTTATGTTATGTTATGTTATAATAACCACACAGTTTGTTATGTTATGTTGTTATAATAAACACACAGTTTGTTATGCTATGTTATAATAACCGCACAGTTTGTTACGTTATGTTATAATAAACACACAGTTCGTTATGTTATGTTATGTTATGTTATGTTATGTTATAATAAGCACATAGTTTGTTATGTTATGTTATAATAAACACACAGTTCGTTATGTTATTTTATAATAAACACACACGGTTTTATGTTATAGTAAACACACAATGTGTTATGTTATGATATAATAAACACATAATGTCCGGAAGATGTGTTCATTCCTTGTGGTAAAAAAAATCTTCATGGCCGAAAGGGATGATAATTCTTTATGATAATATAACGTATACCCCTGCATCCGCTTGTATTAGGTAATTGGAAAATTTATGGTCAATTACTATCTAATTGTTACTTTCTGTGGACCAGGTTGATATATTATTTTAAGGTAGGGCGCCCGATACTAATTCGTCACGATTACGTCAGTTATTTTGGTTAGTTTCCCTTGCGTACTCGTAAACTACTTTGACAGTTTATATTTATAGACTTCGAATTCGTATTTCAAGAATGCGAAACAAAAAATAGTCCACTCGTTAACTTTTCGCCTCCCCGAAGTTATTTAAAGGAGACTTTTTTTTATAACGTTCAGAAACCCCTCAACAAAAGATCGCTTGAATTAAAATAGTTATTGTGATCCATATGATGATGGATTTGATTTTTATCATGTTGTCCGATGTATTATTATACGTAACTCGAGTTTACTGAATGATCCCAATCATTAAAATAATTTGTTGATAATATTGTATTCAACCCAATCAATTAGATTTATTTGTAACAAAATTTTTGTAATCCTTTTCTTTCTATTTTCTATGCGTCCACATTTATAATCTGGACTTGTTATGCCGTCGCCCCTGCATGGGTGTATGTGTGCGTGTGTGAGGGGGTTTGTGAGTGCGTGGAGGTGTATATGTGTTGTCCCTACGACCGCAATTCGTAACGGATCGTCTTGAAACATTGCATGTTAATTTCTTATACCCTCAGGATGATCCCTATTGTTTTTATGTATACCCAATCCTCAGGGCCAGCGCCACGCAATTTTTGCTTTGTGTGCCTGTGTGTCGACTACAGGCCGCAATTCTTAATGGAACGTCTTGAAAATTTATCATACTTATTCCTTATACGCTACGGATCATCCCAATTGTTTTTGGTGCATGTCCAACCACCAGGGGCAGAACCACGCCCGTTTTATTCTTTGTGTGTCTGTGTGCTGCATACAGGGGTAAATTCTTAATGGATCATCTTGGATCTTGGCATGTATTCGTTATCCACTAAGGACGGCAACTATTGATTTTGTTGCATGCACAACTCCAAGGGGTGGTGCCACGCTTACTGTTTGGTCATATTTTGTCAGTAAAACAATTTGTTCAAATTCCGCATGACAAAACATTTCAATAACAGAATTGTACCTCTTTATATTGTCCCGTTCAGGTGCAGAGACATGTCCAATGTTTGTGGTTTCGTCTAAGGACTGCAATGCTGAATGGATCTTCTTGGAACCTGGCATATTTATTCCTTATGGACTAGGGACGGCAACTATTGATTATGGTGCATGCCTCAACCCCCCCACCCCCCACCCAGGGGTACAGTCACGCCCAGTTTTTGTGTTGATCTCTAGATGGATTACTGTCGTTGCAGCCATATTTTCATTCTCTTCATTTTACCAAGTACCATGTCAATCAAAGCAGGAATGTGGATGTATCTTGCGTTACTTTTGTTTATAAATGAAATGGGGTTTAACGTCCTTCTGTTCTGCTCCGAACTGGGCTAATGAAGACGGGAATACGCCATACAGTGTGCTATAAGGGAAAATTTTGCAGGGACAGCGGCACTACGGCCTACTCTTATATCGAATTCTAACTGTCATCGGATCTTTTACGTGCACGCCAATGTGTACACAGGACCTCGGTTGTTCGCCTCATCCGAATGACTAGACAGCTGTCCTTGTCAGGCCCTCCATCCTGCATCACTGACAAGGGGGAACCACGCAGGAAAATCTGGATGAACTTTCTCGGCCAATGCAGGGATTGAACACCCGACCTCTAGGCTAGCGAGCCAGCATCTTACCCACTTAGCCAGCGAGATCCCGCTGCGTGCAGAATGACTTTACATGGGTGAAAATACAATAACAACACAAGTTATATATACCATATACAATATTTATATATTAACAAAAATTGGAAATACAATATTGATCAATAGTTTCGTAATAAATCAATTTAACAGAATCATTAAACATACATTGTGCAAGAGCTAAATCTGCCTATTGCAAGTCTTTATTTAGGCCTAAAATGTTTTCTAAATTATTAATTAGATATTAATTAACTTATCCAGGCCATAATCAACTCTCGATGGTATCGGGTTTCTCCGATATTAAATAGATTAGAACAGTTCAGCCACATTTTGATTTAAGCTAAGAGTGGAGGAGCGAGACTTATAGCCCCGAGGAACCAGTACGGTGGCTGAAATTACTGCATACGTCTTGTCAAACCTTCAAATGCTAATATCTTCGCTCGCAATAGAGTAATTTGAATGAAATTTTCAAATTATTAATTTTGCATTATCTAGTTTCGAACTATTATAGCACGAATGGCTAGTTCTTTATCTAAATCTTACATAATGTATCTTTAAGAAGGAGAGTGGGGTTGAAACATATGATATCAATAAACATTTCAATGGTTGGGATCATATAATAAAATGGAGGAAAGTTAAATACATCGGGTAGTAGAATAAAAAACTATATTCCATCTTCTAATATATTATAATTACAGATAAATCTACAACTTAAAGACTCAATACCACTCTTGTTGTAACTGAATAATATGTCCCAATCTTTATTCTGGTCAACAAATTGCACTATTTTACAATATTCCAATTAATTGATGATACAAATTTCATCTTAACACACCCAATTTAATAAATTGGAATAATTCAACTAAATGATTTGAAAAGCCTGACGTAAAGCTTTTCAAATGTGACTTGGATTTAAAAATATTTTTGAACCCTTTGGACAAGTAAAATAGGATTTAATGGATAACTTGCACAACAGGTAGGACACTAACGCATCTAGTACTTAGAATAAGGCTATTTTTTATTTTCTGGAGCTGTCAAGCCAGCAAGAGTGTTATTGTCCCTTTAATTGAGGGTCTGATAGATTGATATATACATCACGTATACAGAAACTAGGATATTTTGTTGCTGTGTTTTCTTATTTTATGGCGGGGGTGTGTGTGGGGATGGATGACCGAATGGTTAGCACGTGCGCGCTGTATCATAAGGTCTGTCATTGAATCAACTGGCGTGGTTTCGATTCCCCAGTTGTACGTGACAAGGAGAAGGGTGGCCTGTCCAACGTCGTAGGTTTTCTCCGGATTCCCCGGTTTCCTCCCACTGCTAAAGACCCTTACGCGCAAGCGAATTATTGAAATAAGGTTGAACCATATGTTAGTCTCAAAATAACCTAGTTTGTGTCGAGTGGACGTTAAACCCCATCTCTCTCTCTCTCTCTCTTATTTTATGTTAAGATAATACGCGCCATTTTGATTTTGAGGCAGCGCTATTTATATTTACAGGGGGGTGGTGACCCATGATATTGCATGAAGAACAATATCCCGTCCGGGCCTCCAAAAAAACAATATTTATATGCCGGTGGGGCCAGTGCCGCCGAGTAATATTGGGCTGTGTGCTGGAGTCTATTTGTAGCATATCTTACCCACGGTACATGTTTCATACTGGTAAGCATTATCATTATGATCATAATGTTGAAAACCGCATTGAAACCGCACGCGAGGGAACGCAAAAAACTAAAGGGCGAGCAAAAACTCAAAACTATGACACAAGGTGCGTCATTGCGTCTATCTCAGTTAGTCCATGCCTATTCACCACACAACAATTATTTAACATTTTTTACTCTTTCAAAATACAGTTATTATTTTGCGTCATTGCGTCTATCTCAGTTAGTAAATGCCTATTCACCACACAACAATATTTAACATTTTTTACTCTTTCAAAATACAGTTATTATAATAACGCATTATTGTTATTGTCCTATCTTTATTATTATTATTATTACGGTCATTAAGAAAGAACGTGTAAAATAATAGCATTGTATATTATAACTGCACGTAAAAGATCCCTCGGCAGTTAGAATTCGATATAAGAGTAGGCCATATTGCCGCTACCCGGGCAAAATGTCCCTCATACTACACTGTATGGCGCATGCCCTTCTTCATTAGCCCAGCTGACAAGGACAGCTGTCTTGTCATTCGGATGAGACGAAAAACCGAGGTCCCATGGACACATTGGTGTGCACGTAAAAGATCCCTTGACAGTTGGAATTCGATATAAGAGTAGGCGGTGTGTCGCTGTCCGGGTAAAATTGCCCTCATAGCACACTGTATTGCGTATGCCCGTCTTCATTAGCCCAGTTCGGAACAAAACTGTGGGACGTTAACCCCCATTTCATTTCATTAGCCCAGTATAGGAGCAGAACAGTAGGACGTTAAACCCCATTTAATTTCATTTCATCATTATTATAACATAACACATTGGGTTGTTTTTTTATTATACCAGAACGTTATTGTAGAGATAGGACTGGAATATCTGGATCAATCAGATATTGATCCGTTAAAACCACACGGAATAAAGACCATTCCCGACCAATATGTAGTCGACATCACCATAAAGTTTACAATGTGGTAACTTAAACGCAAAATAATAACATTGTATGTTATAATAACATAACATGGCGCAGCGTGTTTTTATTATACCAGAACATTCTTGTAGAGGTACAGCTGGAATATCGACAGCTGCAGCCAGATGTTCGAAGAATGGCTTCTGGGAGCTTGCTGAAACGAAAGGTAACAAAAAGTACCAAGGTTTGCTATTAAATAGTATGTCATGGACAGTAACGGGACGTCGAAATTTCAATCTGATCAAAACACAAATCCTATTTCGTTTCGTTTTTTACAGTTCAAAATTTCGTTCTTCTTGTTTTTACTACACTAAGATCTTGAAGAGTTGTTATATAACCCGCGTTCTGGATGATGTGACGGATCAGCAAATGAAACGGTCTGTTACGGCGAGGTGCACGGAACTGTGGGTATACCACTAGAGACATCAATGCTGATTGGTTAATCATATGTCTGACGTCATAAGTCAAAAGCCACTCGTATGACCTCTGACGCGACATTCCACTACAACCGGTCAGATTAGGCCAACGAAAGTATAAAAGAACCGAAACGAAATAAAGATCTGTATTTTAATCAGATTGTCGTAATTTGTGGGGTGTGTTTTGGAATTTGGGCAGCGGGGGTTCGATAGTGGAAACAACGTCAAGTTCGACGTTAGGGTTTGGGGGATTACCCAACCATTTTATAAAGTCAGAAGATCTGGGACAACATTTCTGCTTATTTAGATGCATATATGTATAGGATTACAGCGGGGTGAAGTCAAAATGGCGTCATGATTCACACCTTTCTTTGTTCGACATTATTTCAATGACAGGCCTTATGATACAGCGCGCACGTGCTAACCATTCGGCATCCAACCCTCCTTGGGAAGAAGAAAAAGAAGGGGTAGATATAACTAATATGGAAGAGTACAAAACGACTGTTAGTAATTGAGAATGGGAGCCACGCTGGCTAGGTGGGTAAGACGCTGGCTCGCTAGCCTGGAGGTCTGGTGTTCGATCCCTGCATTGGCCGAGAAAGTTCATCCAGTGGTTTCCCCCTGTCAGTGGTGCAGAACGGAGGGCCTGACAAGGACAGCTGTCTAGTCCTTCGGATGAGACGAAAACCCGATGTCCCGTGTATACACTGGAATGCACATAAAAGATCCCTTGAAAAATGTTATTCGATATAAGAGTAGGCCGTAGTGCCGCTGTCCGGGCAAAATTTCCCTCATAGCACACTGTATGGCGCATGCCTGTCTTCATTCGCCCAGTTTAGGAGCAGAACAGTAGGACGTTAAACCCCATTTCATTTCAGTAATTGAGAAGAAACATACTTGATGTATTGGTTTCACAGATATACGGTCTGGATACGTTCTCTCCACAATAGAAACCATCATGTTGAATGTTGATGTTTAGAGGACAATTTGATATGTTTTTCCAGGCATAGTATTCAACATCCAGGCCATTTATCCATTGAAAGTTACCAGCTGCCATTTTCTCTACCCCCAGAAATATATCCCTATCACTGAAACAGAACAATTTATAGCCCTGGGTCCTGTTTCACGAAATTTTAAACTAAGATAAAATCCAAATTTGAGTAATTTGATTGGACAATAACAGAACGCAGTTTTTATGGGATACAATCACTAGTTTTATTCTAAAAGCACGACGTTTCGACAAGATGAGGATACTTGTCGAAACATCGTGCTTTTAGAATAAAACAAGTGATTGTATCCCATAAAAACTGTGTTCTGTTAATGTGTTTCCGATCGCTAAATGCCACCTAAAGATTATGATTGGACAATATTAGATTGATTTTAGTGCTTAGCCAATCAAAATTGAAGTACATGTATCTACTAAAATTTGGATTTTATCTTTAGTTAAGATTTCGAGAAACAGGGCCCAGGGAATTATAGCGATGAGCGTCGAATCGGAATGACGCACTAGTTGTGAATGGAAACACATCAGAACGGAACCGAAAATTTGTTCTAACGTGTGTGTGTGTGTGTGGGTGGGGGGGGGCGAATGGTTAGCACGTGCGCGCTGTATAAGGCCTGTCATTGAGTCAACTGCTGGCGTGGTTTCTAATCCCCGGTTGTAATCCTCGTCTGTCCAAGCTCGTGGGTTTTCTCTGGGTCCTCCAGTTTCCTCCCACTGCTAAAGACCCCTACGCGCAAGCGAATTATTGAAATAAAATTAAAAACCATATTTTAGTCCCGAAATGACCTAGTTTGTGTCGAGTGGACGTTAAACCCCATTTCTCTCTCTCTGGTCTGTTGGGGGTTTACGGGTATCGGTGACAATGGTATTGTTTAGACAAATAGTAATCATCCTTTTCTCACGTTTAAACTCTTACACTATGATAATAATAACAAGCTTTTATATACAAAATAACAACACAGTTTCAGTTTTAAAATAAAAACACGGTATCATAGTCATGGACTCTGAGTGTGGATAATTTCTCCTTTTAGACAGATGAAAAGAGATAAAGTACTGTCTCTTGTAACGAGAAAGAGAGGGGGGGGGGTGTTTAACGTACAAGCGACACAAACTAGGTCATTTCGGGACATATATATGGTTCAATTTTATTTCAATAATTCGATTGCGCATAGGGGTCTTTAGCAGTGGGAGGAAACCGAAGGGCCGGGAGAAAACCCACGAGGTTGGACAAGCGACTATACTCCTTGGCACGTACAACCGGGGAATCGAAACCATTCGGCCATCTACCCCCCCCCCCCACTCTGTGGTTATAATTAGAATCTGAGTTCTTGGCGCTGTTTGAGTGTATAGTCCTAAAGTATTTTCTAATTGTCCCGATTGGAGCCGAGCAAATATGTCCTTTCAGAATTAGTAACTTTGCAATAGTAACTTACGGGGTCACGTTTTTGATGAAGTCTACCAGAGCCAGCTCATCTCCTTCAGTTGGAACTAAGGGAAATTGGTAGCCATTATCTGAACAAAGTTGTTTCGCCTCTGTGTAGTTTAATACGGGGTTATCAAAGAAAATAAATCTTGGTTCTGAAAAATTACATTAGAAATGAAATGTCCTGCGTTTCTATCTCAAGCAGGGCTAATAAATTAAAAGATTATATTTTTGATTGATGATGGTAAGAAATAGATTCTTAAATTCGGCTAATCTGATGTGTTATAATCTTTATGATCTAATATATTTAACTTCTGTACACTTACCTTATGTCTACTTTATGTTCTAATATACTTACCTTATGTCTACTTTATGATCTAATATACTTACCTTATGTCTACTTTATGATCTAATATACTTACCTTATGGCTACTTTATGTTCTAATATACTTACCTTATGTCTACTTTATGATCTAATATATCTACCTTATGTACACTTTATGATCTAATATACTTACCTTATGTCTACTTTATGATCTAATATACTTACCTTATGTCTACTTTATGATCTAATATACTTACCTTATGGCTACTTTATGTTCTAATATACTTACCTTATGTCTACTTTATGATCTAATATATCTACCTTATGTACACTTTATGATCTAATATACTTACCTTATGTCTACTTTATGTTCTAATATACTTACCTTATGTCTACTTTATGTTCTAATAATAATAATAATAATAATAAAAACTTTATTTAATGAGGCAACATATTTAGTTTGCAAAAAAAAACCTAATCTTCCATAGGTCCCTCCTAAACTACAAAGACATATATACATGTAATATCAGGATAAATTTAAAATCATTAGAAATGCAATAGCATTTTAAAGTGGGAAGTTTGATAAGTCACTCCCAAACTACAAAACATATACATTATACAAGTAGAATATAGGAAGAACACTATAATTACACACAAAATAAAATAGAATGCAGTTGCAAGTTAAAAATAATAAGTATGTCATCAGTTGAATATTATGGTTCCTACAGTGTGCAAAATAGATGAGTTTTCAGTTTAATCTTAAAATTTTCAACATTTTTACACATCTTTATGTCAAAAGGCAGATTGTTCCATAAAAGACATGCAGAATAATGAAAAGTACGTTTCATGGATTCCGTTTTGCATTTTTGAAGAAAAAGAGATTTACTGGTCTGTGAACGGAGCAAGATATCCGTTTTGGAAACAAGAGATTTTTCAATAAAATGGAAATTTAGATAGAGTGGAGTATTAAATGTAATAATTTTGAATGATAAGACAATTTTATTGTAAGGATTTCCTGTGTAAGGGTAAGCCAACCGAGTTTAGTAAATAAAGAGGTGGACGGAGTTTCAATCGGTGCATCAAGAATAGCTCTTGCTGCCCTCTTTTGTAATTTTAAAAGAATGTCTAATCTACTTTTGGTAGCATTTCCCCAAATAATAGAGCAATAATCAAATATTGGTAGTATGTAACTGTTATAAAACAAAATTCTTGTCTCGTAAGGTAAATGATCTTTTATCTTATTTAGGAGAAATATTTTTGATGCAAGTTTTTTAGACATATCTGCTATCTGTGCTTCCCAATTAAGGTCTTGGTCAATTTGAATTCCAAGTAATTTTGCGGTAGTAACCGTCTCAATTTTCTCACCATGGAGAGATAAAGTTAGGTTTTTCTGATTTCTTTTGTGTTTTGTTGAAATCAGCATTGATTTTGTTTTCGAAGGATTGATTACCATCCCATTGTTTTCACACCATTCAGCAACCAAATAGAGATCATTTTGGAGATTTTTGGCGATGGATAAAATATCTTTGTGTGAACAATGCAGGGTACTGTCATCAGCAAACAAATCTATCTGACTTGATTCAATATTGAGTGGGAGATCATTTATAAAAATGAGGAATAGGAGAGGACCCAGGATCGAACCTTGTGGAACCCCGCATTTGACTGTAGTAATTGAGGAGGTAATTGATCCTAAACATACTTTTTGCTTCCGTGAGTCAAGATATGATTCAATCAAAATTTGTGAATTATTATCAAATCGATAAAGATGTAGTTTTTCAATAATAAGCTTATGATCAATGAGATCAAATGCTTTGCTAAAATCAAGATACACTATACCACTCATCGCACCATTATCGATAGCATCAAGCCAATTATCTGTCATTCGGATCAGTGCAGTAGCACATGAATGATTTGATCTACATCCAGATTGGTAAGCATAAAGAACATTGAAGGTTTCCAAATAAGTTTGAATTTGAGTGCTCAAGTGCCTTTCGAATATTTTTGAAATTGTGGGGAGAATTGAGATTGGCCTATAATTGTTCGGATCATCTTTAGCTCCCTTCTTATGTATAGGAATAATTTTAGCCAGTTTAAGGGCACTGGGGAACATGTTTTGAGAAATACAAAGATTAATGATATATGTCAAACTGCTACAAATTGTATACGCAGACAATTTTAAAATTTTGGGTCCAATACCATCACACCCAGTGGCTTTGTTACTATTTAAACTCAATAAATGTTTTAATACCTCTGTGGTAGTAATACAATTAATAGAAAAGTTGTTATTTGGGGGAATCTTATCATTTACGTAATCTGATATCTTTCGTTTGCACTCTTGAGAAAGTGGTGTATAGGGGGGCTTAATGTCATCAGTTAAATTAGTGAAGTAATCATTCATCACATTAGCAATAGCATTTAGATCATTAACTGTTGTTTTTCCATATTTAATACTATTGGGATAAGGGCAATTATTGGGTTTATTTTGTATGTCACTAAAATATCTCCATATGTTTTTAGATTGCTCTTCATTTTCGATAGAGTCCTTGATAAAGTTTTTTTTGGCTTTATTAATGAGATTTTTGGTTTTATTTCTCCATATTCTATAGTCGTCACACCTCTTGGAGGCTTTAAAGAAGTCCCTGAACTTTCGGGCTTTATTTATTTCCTCTTATGTCTACTTTATGTTCTAATATACTTACCTTATGTCTACTTTATGTTCTAATATACTTACCTTATGTCTACTTTATGATCTAATATACTTACCTTATGTCTACTTTATGTTCTAATATACTTACCGTATGTCTACTTTATGTTCTAATATACTTACCTTATGTCTACTTTATGTTCTAATATACTTACCGTATGTCTACTTTATGTTCTAATATACTTACCTTATGTCTACTTTTATGTTCTAATATACTTACCTTATGTCTACTTTATGTTCTAATATACTTACCTTATGTCTACTTTTATGTTCTAATATACTGACCTTATGGCTACTTTATGTTCTAATATATTTAACTTCTGTACACTTACCTTATGTCTACTTTATGTTCTAATATATTTACCTTATGTCTACTTTATATATTTACCTTATGTCTAATTTATGTTCTAATATATTTACCTTGTGTCTACTTTATGTTCTAATATATTTACCTTATGTCTACTTTATGATCTAATATACTTACCTTATGTCTACTTTATGTTCTAATATACTTACCTTATGGCTACTTTATGTTCTAATATATTTAACTTATGTACACTTTATGTTCTAATATACTTACCTTATGGCTACTTTATGTTCTAATATACTTACCGTATGTCTACTTTATGATCTAATATACTTACCTTATGTCTACTTTATGTTCTAATATACTTACCTTATGGCTACTTTATATCTACTTTATGATCTAATATACTTACTTTATGGCTACTATATCTACTTTAGGATCTAATATACTTATCTTATGACTACTTTATGATCTAATATGCTGAAGTCATGTACACGTTAGGATCTAATATAAGTACTTCTTTATATGGCATTTAGTAATTGAACAGTAACACACTAACAGTATTTATGGAATAACAATTACTGGTTTATTAACATGCAACGTTAGTGTGCTAATATAAGTAATTAATGGAGTCGGAAGTACAGGGAAAATGTGTGTTTGTTTTTTTGTCTGGTTTTTTTTTTGGGGGGGGGGGGTGGGGGTGGATGTATATGTGTGTCTCGGTGGGTGGGGATCGGGATATAACAACAACCATATTTATCATTCATATCAATAGTAACCGGTGCCGGTAGTAATCAAATTAGATCTATATTTACCTTGGCCAAGATCTTCACAAATAACAGGACGTGGAATTTCACATCTGCGTGTAGCCCACTGGTAGTTGTTTTCGTTTTTAATAGTAACACAATCTTTGTCCTGTGCTTGAAGCCTTTTCCAGTTTCCCCTCACCAATAAATCGCCGTTTAACCATTGGTATCTGTCTAAAGTAGGATTATATTCCAGTCCAAACCACAATCCTTCCTCGTCACTTTATATAATAACATAATACACAATCAAAATATGTTATTTGTGTTACTGCTCAAATGACAAGAGTTATTAAATGTTCTAGAATGGCAAAGTTTTGGGGCGTTTGGAAAAGCTGGACTTTATGAAACATTTTTTATTTTTTTTCGTGGAACATTAAATAGTTTACCTATTCTCTTGTAGCATGTAAGGGAGGTAAATTCTACAATATTTTATTCTGTGTCGTTTTTACCACAAGAGCGCCACAAGATATTGGACAGATAAAAAAATCTTTTTTTTCTCTTTTTTTCTCATAGCACACTGTATGGCGTATGCCCGTCTTCATTAGCCCAGTATAGGAGCAGAACAGCAGGACGTTAAACCCCATTTCATTTCTTTATTTTTTTACAAAAAGGGCTTCTCAGACCACCTTATCTCTCTGTGTGGTACTACCTTAGACAGTTATTTGACAAGAAATGACCGATTGTCAAGCACCATTGCCGTGATAATAAAGAAAGGAGGGGGGGGGGGTAATATAGGTCTAGCCTGTTCTTCAATCCTTTTCTGAGAATAAAATCTTGTTTATGAAAAAAAATGAAATAGGCTTAACCTGTTCACCAATCCAAAGGAGAGTGATAATATAGGCCTAGCCTGTTCCTCGATCCTTTTCTGAGAATAAAATATTGTTTATGAAAAAACTGAAATAGGCATAGCCTGCTCCCCAATCCAGATTCAGATATTTACTGAATAAAAATATTGTTTATAAAAAATAAAAAAAATACAAAGTTGCGATTGTCAGTCCTTTTATTTAGTGATGTCCATTTTAACGGGTACTCGATGATATGGCGCGGATGATCTAATTCATTTAATATCTCAGCAATTCAATGGCACAGAGAGTTGATTATGGGATTGTCATGTAAAAAGCCATAATGCATCTTTTGGGACGAAAATGGACCAAAAAAAAAAGCTCTCCTTCCTGTAATGTGAGTGTATATAAACTGATTTAAATTCATTTCTTAAATTTTTATTTGAATTTCTAATCAGTTGTGTTCGTCGAAATACGCGAGCATCACTGTTGATTGGAATGGACCAGTAATTCGTGTTTATGATATTGAAGGCTCGGGAGAATAAAATTGAGTTCAAGCTTTACGCCCTTTATGCAGCCATTTCGAATCACGCCAAGCCAAGACCAACCCACTGATCTATTATTTAAAAACATAATCCATGATCGTGCATAACACATTCACCGAACGATATCTTATTTAGCGTAGACCATTCGTTCCTCAAAGTCGAAATAGATTGTGTCCTTGTTTAAAGTTACAATTTCATATTTTCTAAGAAAGTAAAAACATAATTATTTCTATTATCACTATTATACGATCATAGGTTATCTTTCTCACACTTAAAAATCTTCACACCGGAAATAATAACACAATTAGCTCCCAATTACCTCCCTTGTTATCCTATTCCCGACCATGGAATACCTATCTTCAAACGTTTGAATTTAAAGTTGAAAATGATGTTTTTGCCAATTTCTCAACTGGCAATAGTGAATTATAGGATTAATAGGATTATTCTTTAACAAGGTAGGAGTGTTTATAGATACCATCTATTTTAGGGCTTTATTTTAATACATTTTAAAAATATAACTTAAAAATATGAAATTGTAACTTTAAGATACTCAAGTAAAGCGTCAGAATCGTAAAAGTGATTTGGGCATTTATGTTTGTCAAAGATAATGCAGATATCTAGGAGACTCACCATATTTTGTCGCGGACAATCCTGTTCTATAGTGCTGGCTCATTGATAATATGATACATTTTTTTGCAAAAAAAACATAAAAATACAACAACATTCTATGATGACACGTGGTATTAAAGGGACAATAACACTCTTGCTGACTTGACGGCTCCAAAAAATAAAAAAGAATAGCCTTATTCTGAGTACTAGATGTGTTAGTGTCCTACCTGTTGTGTAAATTATCCATTAAATCCTATTTTACTTTTCCAGAGTGTTCAAAAATATTTTTAAATCCAAGTCACATTTGAAAAGCTTTACGTCAGGCTTTTCAAATCATTAAGTTGAATTTTTCCAATTTTTTAAATTAGGTGTGTTTAGATGAAATTTGTATCATCAATTAATTGGAATATTGTAAAATAGTGCAATTTGTTGACCAGAATAAAGATTGGGACATATTATTCAGATACAACAAGAGTGGTATTGAGCCTTTAAACTACACTCTGTCTAGAGCACGATATGCACTAACATTGATATAGCAGGATACTGATTTTACTTACATTGACAGCGTGTTGATGAACGCTAACAATGCGTGGTATGTCTGTTTTGTCGATGCCATAGCTAATTCCATACCGAGATCTTTACACTTCACCACAGCAGCATCAAAACTGACCTTTTCATCGAAATAAACATACGTACCAACTGAAAAAATATATCAGATTTGATTGGCTGAGTTGTCATTACGTTAATAATTTGTGCCTATAATGTGGTTTAACTATCAGTCAAATATAGTATAACGTTGAAGGAATGAAATGGGGTTTAACGTCCTACTGTTCTGCTCCTATACTGGTCTAATGAAAACGGGCATACGCCATACAGTGTGCTATAATGAGGGAACTTTTGCCCGGACAACGGCACTACGGCCTACTCTTATATCGAATTCCAACTGCCATGGGATATTTTACGTGCACGCCAATGTGTACACGGGACCTTGGTTTTTCGTCCCATCCGAACGACTAGACAACTGTCCTCGTCAGGCCCTCCGTCCTGCGTCACCAAGCCGGAAAATCTAGATGAACTTTCTCGGTCAATGCAGGAGTCCAACACCCGACCTCCAGGCTAGGAAGTCAGCGTCTTACCCACTTAGCCACCATGATCAACCATTGGTGACAGACTAATTAAATAACACAAACTTTTCTGTCAGTGTTATGTTTTGATGGTTTATCTTACTTTATCAAGAATTGATTTGCAGGCATGTCGAAATGCAAACTGCCTTTTCGTCCCATCCGAAAGATTAGAGCTGTCCCTTGTCACCACCCAACTGTCCATGTAGTGGGATATAAGAGTGTCGTGTAATTATGACAGTACATGCCATATACACGACCAGACAGCCTTAAACGTAGGGCTACCGATTAGGGAAACCCTTACAATTTTGTCCTGTATGCCCTTCATGGGTGTTGTTCGGGGAATCCAGTATTTTTCTAGTAAGATTAGATGTTTCTACTTTCCATATATACCAAAATTACCATACTTTTATTGGAAAGAACCACACGATAAATACTTTTCTGGAAAAGTATCTTTAAGATTATAAATGCCCCCCGCCCCCTCCACCAACTGTCAATGTAATGAGATATAATCTAGAAACTTACCACACAGACTTGTTGTACTGATAACAGTTACTATGAACCATTTTATCATCATTCTCGTCTCTAATATTTCTTTCACACATTAAGACAACCTGCTTAGAGAATGGCGTGTTTCTGTTCTGTCCAGATCAATATATAACGAAATAATCGTCCAATACCCTAACACTACAACACGACAAATGGCCAATGATAAATAAGTCATTCACGAATAGGAGGGGTTTCTTACAGGGGAGTGCAACTCACCGTTTCTGTCGGAATTGTTTGGGGTGGACATGCCTATATATATAAATAATATACCTTTTTCTTTAGCTAGAAAAATATGCACCATTGTGATAGATGAAGACCTCCGGGTTGTCAGATTAGGTGAGCTAAAAAGATCTTTATTGAAACAGTATTACCCCCTCGAGGTAATAGAAGTTATGATAAATAATACTTTGGCAATTGATATCCAAACACTGAGGGCTACTAAAGCAAAAGACAGTTCGGACAATATCATTACCTTTGTCGCTACTCATAACCCCCAACATCCCAACTTCTTTAAAACAATGTACGAGAGCAGGGCAATTCTGGCATCAAACGACAACCTCAGAATGAAATTTGATAATGTTCAATTCATTAAATCACAAAGACAGCCACCTAATCTGAAACGCCTCCTAACCAAAGCAAAATTCAATTCATCTATCACAAGGACCGGCTTTTATGTATCTTAATGCCCGGATCTTCGATGCAAATGTTGCGACCATATTACGCCAAATATGTGAACCGTTTCCCAAATGACGTAACAGGATGTGACGATCCAGTGCAGGTGGGGTCACTCTCATGGGATATCTATGGTCACTCTTAGTTGGCCTACGCTTGGGCAGTCAGTCTTTATAGGATATCTATGGTCACTCTTAGTTGGCCTACGCTTGGGCAGTCAGGTTTCCTACCACTGCGAATTAGGGGCGGATTGGGTCCGGGAACCGGCCCGGGCTCTCGTGTCGGAGCGGCCCCTTTTACTGACCGCGGAGCCCGGACGGGGGGCCCGGGGGTTGTCTCCCGAGAAAATTTTGAAAAATGAACCCCAAATATGCGATTTGGTGGCATATCTGATTATAATCTCTGTCAAATAATATATCTCATAATACTCCCGCAATTTGAGACCATTCCCGACATGCCAATTCTGTAATTTCATCTCTGAAAATAACAAGTTAAAAAAATGTCAAGGAATGTTTAACATCAGCCTCAGGAAATCGTTTCGCACTCATATTCAGCCAGCAGACCAGCTATCATCAAATTTTGCTGAGGCCTTAATACCATCGGCAGACCTTTCTGGCGTATTCCCACAAACAGGGTGCCGGTGATTTAATAATTAGTAAATTTGCGGGCGACAGTGTCGGGTGAATCCGATGATATTTTCGGATGAAATTCGGAATCCCCATTGCAATATTTCGAATTCCGGCCCACACCCAGCACACCCGGCCCAGAAAGTCTATTATACCAGCCCATTCCAGACTCCAGTGACGGCGTGGCGGCCCGTTAAAGCCACCGGCCACATACAACATGATCATCATCGCTCCATGGCCGGTCCAATATAATCCCGGGACTAAAATATGGTTCAATTTTATTTCAATAATTCGCTTGCGCGTAGGGGTCTTTAGCAGTGGGAGTAAACCGGAGGACCTGGAGAAAACCCACGATGTTGGAGCTATTAATTAAGTAGTTGTTTAATTACCCACATATGGACATTGGCCTTCAGAGATCTGGTAAATTTCCATCACAATAGCACCTTAAAACATAAACAAATTGGCCTTGAAAAAGTTAAATGACCAATTTACGTGTCAACATTATAAACGGTGAGTTAACAATTGGTACGGTTCCTCGCAGTTATTCCTTTCTTTTTCATTTACCTTTTTTTTTAGTTTTACTTATTATTAGTAGTAGTGCAAACATGACATTTTTTTGTAAAACTATTAAGACAAAAAGTCTCTTTCTTATTCATGGACAAAGGGGTTACTGATTAAATGACCAACGTGTTAACATTATAAACAGGGCGTTAACGATAACCTCGGTTCCTCACGGCTGTTCTATTCTTTTTATTAATCTGTTTTTAAGTTTTACTTATTATTAGTAGTAGTACAAGCTTCGTCAATTTTTTTGTAAAAATGGTAAGACAAAAAGTAGCTTTTTTATTCATGGACAAAAGGGTTACTTAGTTAAATCGCTGTAGATTGGAGTGGGTGATTTTTTTTAAAAGCCATTTACACCCTCAATTATGTTTTATACTATAGTACTGTTATTAGTTATCGTTTTTAGACAACAGGCTACTTCAATCTATGTTTTTGTCTGTCGTGTTGTCCGAGATAAATAACTCAAATTCATACTAAAGATTCTCTCTTGATAAAAACTATGGTGATCACACAATAGAGCAGAGAAGAAAGGCGGAGTGTCTGGCTTTTCGGACGACTAGACGTTTTTCCCTACCTCGAGATTTTATTTTTTTCTGCGTGTCCTAAATCAGCCACCGTACGATGAATAGTTAGTGAACTATATTTATTTGGGTTACGTTGCTCCCACATGAAAACAGAGAGAGTAGATAACTTTGCTCTGTTTGTAATTTTGAATCATCAAGAGGGAAGAGAGAGAGAGAGAGAGAGAGAGAGAGAGATGGGTTTAACGTCCACTCGACACATACTAGGTCATTTTATTTCAATAATACGCTTGCGCATTGGAGTCTTTAGCAGTGGGAGGAAACCGGGGGATCCGGTGAAAACCCACGTGGTTGGAAAGGCGACCCTACTCACTGTTACGTACAACACCGGGGAATCGAAACCACGCCAATTGACTACATTGACTCTTGTTAGTAACGTGAAGTTCGGGCAGTACCGGATCTAAGGGGGGAGGGGCAAAGTGGGACAAATGTCCTGGCCCGCAAGATTTAGGGGCCCCCCACAATTCTGGGTCATACTAATATTTTATCCCGGACGGAGCCAACCAGTACCTGGGCTGAGGGGGCGAGGATTGGGGCCCTGGGCAGTAAGGGATATTGTGGGCCCCGGGACTGGTAGGTACCAACAGATTTTCGAGGGCCCAGGAAATCGCTGCCTAAATTGTCTCAGATGCACTGAAATTAATCGTAATTTTAAAAAAAAATTCCTGGAGGAAAACACCCCAGGCACTCAAGGGGGGTACATACTAGTACGATCCGCGGTCAGTACGAACAATTTGAACAAACAACAATGGGACCCCTGCACAGTTGGTATGTCCCGGGCCCCCCACAAGCTTAATCCGGCACTGAGTTCGAGGTGGTGAATATAAAGTTAAAAGGTTAGATAAGTAATATGGGGCAAGGCCCTTTAGACATGTAAAGATTCGAACCGGGAGCCTGTGTAAATTAAAAAGATTAAACATTAGTAATGGCCGATTCACAAACCTTAAAATGAAAATAAAAACGACATGTACAATGGACTTAACAACTGCCCTACAAATTGGACTGTAAGCTAGCATTAGAACTTACAATGATATTGATTTTTATTAAGTAAATTAATTTGCTAACAATCACGAAGCTATAAAATGATTAAATTCTCCTAAAGTAAAAGGTTTTAGCTGTGTATTCGGTGCTTATTGTTCTTTCTGTTTAAGATTATAACGATTAAATAGAGATAATGTGTTTTCAGTCTTTCCTTTATAGAAAATATACATTCTTTTAATAATGAAGAGTTTAAATTTTCCATTCTGGTGAGATTCCCCTGTAAATTCATTTGTTGTGTTTTTATTGGAGATAAGATAAAGAGCTGGCAGTTCTCACTATAATGATTAAAAACTAGATAATGTAACGGCAATTTGCTGAAAATTTTAGTCAAATTAATCCACTTTGAACCGAGAATTAAGCGATTGAAATTTCGGCCAAGCCTCGATCATCATTACTAAAGTCTGTACGATAAAAAACATAGTCTCGATCATACATTTCATGATTAAATTATGAATGGAAGTGGAGCAGCAAATGGCAACACAATCCAGTAAATATCGCAGGCTAGCGATGCCATCGAGAGTTGATTATGGTCTGGATAAGTCAATTAATGTCTAATTAATAATTTAGATAAAATTTCTGTCCTAAAGAAAGACCTGCAATTGGCAGATTTAACTTTTGCATAATGTATGTTTAAAGGAGCTAAACCTCTAACAACTCAATGTTTTCCATAAAATTCGAAATTAAACATACCAATTAAAATTCATTATTGGTCCCTTCCAATAAATATTAATGTTATCACAACGAACAAGGTTTGTTGGTAATATGGGGAGGGGGGGGGCATTTACAAGACAAAATCATACAGATCAGTTTATAATGTTTATCCTTTGAGGGTTCATAAGGTGCTGCAAACTGAAACAGGGGCCTTAAGTCTGAAAATAATATACAAAAATTGTTGAAATTCGACAGCTTTTTTCGTTTTACTAGTTTAAATAATGCATATAAATTTCATACAGATCGGATGATGACTTTTGTCATTCAAGCGTTCACAATGTTCAACAAAGTAAAACATGCAAGGGCCATAACTCTAGAAGCAATTGAAGGAAATTGCTGAAATTCAATAGACTTCTGTGTTTCAATATCAAATGATGCATATATATTTCATACAGATAGGATGATATCCTTTGTCGTTAAAGCATTCGCAAGGTTCTAGTTCTACAAAGTAAAACAAGGGCCATAATTCTATTTCTGATAAACGGAAATTGCTGAAATTCAATAGGCATCTTCGTTTCTCTAATTTAAATAATGCATATCGATTTCATACAGATCGGGTGATAACTTTTGTATTAGAGCGTTCACAAGGTGCAATAAAGTGAAACAAGGGCCATAACTCCAAAAGAGATTAACGGAAATTATTGAAATTAAATAGACTTCTGCATCTCACTAATGTATAACAACATTAACAAGGGCCATAACTCTAGAAGAAATTAATTGAAATTATTGAAATTAAATAGGCTTCTTCATCTCACTAATGCAAAAAACATCAATTTCAAAACAATCAGATGATAAATGTAGTCTGTAGAGTGTTCAGAAGAAAGTGGGCGTGTAAAAGGGGCAATATTTCCCAAGCACTAGTGCGAGTCATGATCGGCAATATGCTACCTGAAATC